AAAGGTCACGCCCCCTTCCTTGGACAGGCTTTGCTCTGAGGTAGAGGCTGGTTTCTCAAAAATGGAGTCACATCAGTTTCTCAGTACCACCCAATAACTAGAACAGCTGCAGAATTAGTGTCAACAGTGAGCAGCTGTAGAGCACTGGAAAGCAGGAGACCCACATGCAGATGTATTTGGGGATACTGTCCTTTTAGAGTTTGGTAAGTCTGGTTGTTAGGCAGCTGTTTTATAAAGAATGTTTTGGTTTGGGGATGCTGTAGAGGATTGCTGTACTCAACCTGTAATTTCTACATATAAGTAAAATCTGTGCAAGTCAGGCTTAGAGAAAGACTCATTTAGGCAGTCTCCCAGAGACAGAGTTTATGAATTTGACATCTTGCTGGCACCAGGTGATAGCTCCTGTCTGGTGAATATCAAGGTGTTGAGGTACAAAGGTTTCCATACTGGCAATAGGAGATATCAGGGCATTAAATTCCCAGAGTTTAATCCTTAGGTGTACCTTCCTCAACACCAAGTGGTGTTCCATTATGGCTCTGAAATATGGGGATATGTTTAACTTTATGAGTTCAGGTTCTCCTTGTGACCCCAGACAAAGCAGTGTTCTTGCCTGAGGCACTCCAAATGTTTCCTTCACTTCCATCTTGATTTCTTCGCAGAATATTGCTGCCATATGGTTCCAGGACACTCCTCACCCGCCCCCCTCCCGTTTAATGATGCTAATCTCTTATTGGCATCTTATTTTCTTCGCTGAAAATAGGAGTGAGAAAGCCTTGACCAGGAAGTCAGTTGTCTTATCCCAGGGTCCTCTGGTGTGACAACAGGCCCTTCCTTCGGTTCCAGTGAGGCCTGTCCTGGCCTGCCCTAGGCACCCCTCCTTCTTGAGAACAGGGTTGTCTGCATGGGACACCGAGTTTGGAATCCCCTGGGCACACCTGTGGCCCCATTTCCAGGAGGAACAAGAAGGGCCCACTGAAGAAGCAGCCAGAGCCGCGTGGAAAGCCAGGAGCAAGTTGTGCTTCTGTGCACCGTCTTGGGGCAGCTGCTGGTCGCGGCCTGGGAGAAGTGTGGCCTGGGGAGAGCTCTGGTTGGAGCTCACAGACGTTCCAGGCAGAGAGGGAACGGGATCGCGCCTCGGTTCAGGCGGCGCGCTCGGGCCGGGTCTTTGACTGACAGTCAACTTCGGGGGCGGGGCGGGGCTGCAGAGCGGTCCAATCAGGAGCGCCGGCGGGAGGCGGGTCCGCTCCGAACCGCGGGACCTTCCGTTCTGGCTCCGCCATCTTTGAGACTCTGTGGGCTCCCGAGGTTGCTCTTCCTGTTTGGCCTTGTGACCTCCTTTGACTTCGGCAGCCGTGAGGTGGACAGCAGGACACCCAGAAGCAGGGAGATGGTGAGTGTGCGGGGCCCAGGCGTCCCGGACGTGGGCACAGGGCCTGGCTCTGACGGGGGCCCAGCGAAACCCGCTCCGCTCCGTAGGTGCCTGG